AAGAAAAGACCTCACAAAAATGAGGTCAACACCCGCGTACCTTCATGTGCTTGATTAATCAGATTTTTCAACCTTTCTTGGGGAAATCTGTAATAGTATACTTTGATGGCATATTTATCTATAGCCAAAATCCAAATCATGAAGCTTTGAAATAAGTTCAAGGCCAAAACAATAAAAGGATGGCATGCCACTTGGTTGGAATTCCTTTCATTTCACCCTAAAGCAGAAGTCCGGAGTTACAAATCAAGTGACAGACACTCTTAGCCGCAGGTATCAAGTGTTAGCTACCCTTCAAGCCACGCTTGCGGGCTTTGAGATATGCAATGAGCTTTATGAACGAGAGGTTGCCTTCCAAGAGATTTGGAAGAAATGCTTGCAAGGACCATATCACATGTTTCATATCAATGAATGTTTCCTCTTCTTTGGAGCTCATTTGTGTGTACCACCATCTTCTTTGAGGGAGGTCATGTTAGTCGAATGCTATTATGGGGACAAGACTTTAGCCCTCCTACAAGACAAGTTCTATTGGTCTTCCATTCGTGTGATTGTGGAGTGGTATGTGAGGAGATGTCAAGTGTGGAAGAGGGCAAAAATCCGAACTCAGAAATTGGGATTATATTTACCATTACCGATTCTTGAAGGTACTTAGATTGATGTTAGCTTAGACTTTTTTGTGGGTTTGACACGAATCAAACGCAACTAAGATTCTATTATCATTGTGGTGAATCAGTTTTCGAAAATGGTATATTTTATTCCTTGTTGGACTACTTTGGATGCATCTCATATCGTTGACCTATACTTCAAGGAAGTGGTACGTTTTCATGGAGTACCTCGCACTATTGTCTCCGTTCAAGATGTGAAGTTCTTAAGTCACTTCTGACAGATATTGTGGAAGATGTTAGGAACTAAATTATAATTTAATTCAACGGCACATCTTGAAACAGATGGTCAAACAGAATGTGTCAACCAAAAGCTTAGGGAATTTGTTGAGATATTACGTGGGGAAAATAATACGACAATTAGAACTTTTATTATCAAAATTGGGGTCTGATTGCAATAGGTCCCGCAATCAAACCTCCAAGTTCAGTCCCTTTGAAGTGGTGTATGGTTGCAATCCCATTTCTCCCTTGGATCTCTTACCGATCATGAAAGACGTCATGGCCATCAGTCCTGAAGTGGAAACCCTCATATAAGAGATACACAACATGCACAAGTTGATAAAAGAAAATACCACCAGCAAACCAACAAGAATAAAAAAATTGTAACTTCCAAGGAGGGAGATATTGTTTGGATTCGGCTACACAGAGTGTTTTCCTCTGAGCAAGTATGGAAAGATCTTAGCCAAATTCGATGGTCCTTTTCGGGAGCTTAAACACATTAATAACAATGCCTACCAAATTGATCATTCCATATGTTATAATGTGTCCGCCACTTTAATGTATCCGGCTTATCTCCTCACTATGAAGGTGATTTAGAAAAGGGCAACAAGAAGAGGCTTCTCCAACCCCGAGAAAATGATGCGGAAGCAATCTAGCATAGCTTCAGTATTTAATTTTAGTCTTCTTTTATGTTTTTATTGTTTTATGTTTTTTTAAAGAGCACAGTGGTCTTTTTCGACTGGCAAAGTGTATTTCCTACCTGACTTCCATATAAGACAGGATTCTTTAATGAAAAGGAGACTTTTGGGTGTTTATTTTATCTCTTTATGCCGAGAGTGGGTGTTCCTTAGAAAACATGTTGTTTGGTCTGTAACCAGGGTTCGGCCCTCCTTGGGGTGTTCGTGGGGCTTGTTAGCTGCTGTCCAAAACTGATTCCTGCTGTGGCAGTTTTCAGTTCCAGAAGGAAAGCAGCTAAGTGATCAGTTATTTTCCCTGTTGTGCCACTATCAGATTGACTCGATCCGGCTTGACGTAGGATCTAAATGTATAGCTGCAAGCGCATATAAAAACATGTACACATACAAACTATGATTTATATATTTGTATCTATTTGATTTGTGTATGTATATATGAACGCTAGACTTAAGCTTTGTATTAGAATATCGCGAATTGATTGAAATCATATCCCATTTTTTATTTGAATGAAGACCATCCAAAATTAACAAGCTGTATAACTAGACATTGCTTGGTTCAAGCTTATATATTGATTCATGGTTTGATCGGATTCATAGCAAGAGCAATTAAAACTATTGATTGAGTTATATAATATCAACTTACGATCATTTACATCGATTTGCACAGCTATCTTGTCCAGAGCAGCAATAGCATCTTCTAAAGCTCTGTTGTATGCTGAGATCATGAAAAATAAGATGGATATCAATAAGATAGAGAACACATTATGAAAACAAAACAGAGAAAAAAACTTAAAAAATTAAATATCATAGTACCTCGACAAATGACTGTTGGATGATAATTCTTATCAATAAAGGCTTCCGCAACATGGAGCATCTCACCAGCTTTGAACAAAATGGCATGTTAGATTTTTTTTTTTAATGTTGCAAACAATGCATGATATGTGAACTGAAAATATGAAAAACAGCATAATAAGAGAACATAACAAATTTGGAGACACCCTATACTCAATAAACTGGTAACGATCATTAATTTCTAGCTAAGCAAATTGGTAACATTTGAAGGTTCGTAATTGAAATTAGCTATGTTACCTAGAACAATAACAGAGGTAGTACCATCTCCCACTTCTTCATCTTGTGTACGGCTTAGCTCAATCATTGACTAGGGGAAACAACAGAGTGTAATATTAAAAAAGAGAAGTTACAGCCGATAAACAAAAACTAAGAATAGATTTTTCACTGTGTAACTAAATCAATAAATATCTATGTTTGGTAACTACCAACCTTAGCTGCTGGGTGTGCCAGATCCAGTTCACGTAGTATAGCATTTCCATCATTGGTTACTACAATTCCTGAAAATAACAACCATGATTCATTTGACTGAGAAGGGAGACCACTATATCAACTAAAATACTTGGAACACATCCCAATATATAGCAGTTGGCTAAAATCATATTCAAGTAAGACAGCTAGAAATCTCCATCGAGAACATAATAACATGGAACACAAGACGAGCAGTTGGAATAAGGCCAAAAGCACCAGGTTTTCTATAGAAGCTTTGCGTTCTACGAAAGCGATTTAATTATACTTCACATGAAACAAAATTTCACACCATTCACTTAAATTAAGAATAGAACAAACCATTATATCATCAATTTTCAATGCTTTAAAAAAGTTGATTTGATAAGAAGGATCTGACACCGCCAACAGACTGTTAGTCTTGTGCTTCTTGTGGAATATTTGATGAATTATGCACAAATTAAAGCAGAAAATAAAATGATGGTTTTCTTGTTTCCAAGGATTTTACAATTGCTAGCAATGATGATCACTGTAGGAACTAATGCACCCCATGGTTGGTTCTCAACTTTCCCAGTAAATAAATGGATAAGAAAAAGTCCCCGGGCACTCATTCAACGACAAACATATCCAAAATAGAATCCACGCATTCAAGACAAACAGATCTAAGTAAGAAAAAGTTTATTCTCTAATAATTCTTTGATAATTTTCATGTCCAAAATATACCAGGGGAACCATAAAAATTTATTAAAAGCTTCAGTATCTTCGAGAATTGTCCAGAGAGATGTCAGCAATGACAACTTCAATTTATTCACTTGTGTTCCCTCTGTTTTTTTCTTTCTTTCCAATGTCCCCAAAAATATCTCAAGATGGACAGCACAACGTACACTAAACTCACCATCAATATTTAGTAACCTGTTGCCTACATTTTAATCTGGAGATCATATATTCAAGTTACCAAAACAACTTCAACAAATACAGGGTAAAACTAAATGCATCAAACCACCCTTCTAGACCATTCATTAGTGGTAACTCCAAGCAGTGTGTTCAACCCCGTATTTCAAAAGCTGCTTTTTTCTTTTTTCCCCCTTATTTCAAAAGCTGGTTAGCTCAAAAGTAACACGAATTAAATGGTATGTTAATCATTGACCTCGCGTATATCTTTCCCTCAAATTTCCAATTCATAATATAATTATCAATTGTTATACCTTTGGCATAGATTTTGAGTAATGATAGAATGAAAAAAAGTTGTGTAATTTAGGATGGCGCTTGAGCAAATCAGACAGTTTCTAGTCCAACGCTCCAGAAATACCAATTATCATTCTAGAGCCAAATTCATACCATACGACATGAATCAAGATTGAAGGATAAATCAAAAATTTTTGGAATAAACAAATACTAGATGAAAGATAACGTGAGTTTTGGGGACAAAAACCAGCATTAAATTAAAGGAAAATGATTTTGGAGGCTATTCATTCCTTAAAAGGCATGAACAATTCGATGAACCTGACTTGGAACTAAGCTAATTAAAATTAGTTGAGTGGACATTTAATTGCAAGTAATTGAGTAATCGTTTGTTTACAATTTCATATATGCTTTAGTTAAAATATTTAAAGAACAACGAAAAAATCTCACAAAGTTTAAACATAATAACCAAAATCAAGGAGAAAAAAAAGTTTATGTTTGACAAAGGTTTAAAACTGGTTCCAGGCTCATACTACTTTATATAGAGTTCAAAGTTTCACCAATTTCAGCATTTTAAAATATTTCACCACTGTTTTTGGTTATTAGTTCAAAACTAAGTTTAAATAATATATAATACAATTTATGTAGAAAAAAATCAGAAAAAGCCACAGATAGATGATAAATGTTCATGTTTTTAGAATTTTTAATAAAAAATATCTTCTATTCTTGTGAAATATAAATTTGTTAGTTTATCTATTTCACTATTAAATTGCACAGTAAATTTATACAGAGGCAAAAAAATATTTATTTACTATAAAGAAAAAAAGAATGGATAACATGATGCCCAAATATGAAAAAAGAGCAAGAATATTAAAAGAATGGCTCATAATAGGTAAATAATAATGAAAAGACAGATTTAAGATAAATGGATTAAAGAAAGAAAGCTCAATGCTATTTCATAAAAAATAAGTAGATGTTAAAACAAGAAAAATGGAAAAAAAGTAAAACAAAAAAAGGTAATTCCATAGTTTGCAAAGATATAAAGAAGCTTTCCTGAGCACCTTCCACTAAAATAGGGGGCAGTTCAGGAGAGCTCTAAGGTTATAAATGGACAAGACACCTCTTTACTTAAACCCCTCGTAAACATATAAGGTAGTGCTACTTTGTCTAAAAGCTTCAATAAGTATATACGGTTGTGACTCTTTGCCTACTCGCCTTAAGAAAAAAAAAATGTCCTTTGAATTTCTCTAAGAAAAATGCAAAAGATAGGAATTCGTGACTCACTCTATAAAACTATTAGCTTCTTCCTCGCAGTGTTCTTAGAATGGCACTTAAGAGTTTAGTAATGATGAAAAAAAAATTCAATTTGAGACACTCATCTTCTTTCAGGAGTAATTAAACTTGAAGCTTATCTATCAATAAACAAACCTAAAACTCAAAATATTTATAAACCAAACCGCTCAAACAAATATAGTTTGCAATATTGCTGCACGGCAACAATAGTAGCTTGAATAGTGAAATGATTTTAAAGAGAAACAAGATCGTGTGCGACCAATGTTGGGAACAAAAGCAGAAAATTCCACAATTTATCCATAATAGCACCTATTGTTCAGAAATCTCTTTGCTTTGCATTAGCTATTCATGACTTAAGAATTATCATCTGATACAGCAGTTTTTACGTAAACAAATACCTAACAAAGTCAAAACTCTTAGCAAGATTAATAACATGGCATAAAACTTTTATTTTCCACAGTTTTTAATTCTCTGTAGGTAGAAAACCGTCACAAATATTAAGCTTTTGTGGTATTCTTCATACTTTTCTATGGTATACACTTTTTACGAACAATCACAAAAACATCTTTATACAATGATGGGTCATGCCATAGATACTTTTCCCCCTTAAACTTATTTTCTATAAAATTTAGAAAAAATGCTACCACTTTTTCATGTGTAGTTACGCCTTCATATTGTGAAATTTCTACATGTGTATTTTTTTAAATTATTTTAGACCATAGAAACTTGATTTGGCTTCTAGAAGATCTTTACAATCTTTGAAATCAATCGATTGAGCAAATTAGAGTAAAGATAAACCTTCCAACTATTCATGCCAGCTTCAAAATATCTACCTTTCTAGCATTGTTAAAATTTCCCCCAACACCTCAATGTAGCATGGTGGCACCAAATATTTGATATAAAATTGAAGTATGATATCAAAGGTAGAGGAAACATCAGATTTAAGTTAGGGAGGGTGCATTTTTCTCAATTAACTCCAAAGTGGAAAGAGATACATATACCAAGCTCACAATCCTCACATTAATAAGGCTCCAGGGACAAATAGAATCACGCTTCATGGATTCCCAAGACAGGTATAGCTCTAATAAATCATTCATTTATCTAAGGTCGTGATAAAGATAACAACAAGTTTATATGTGATCTAAGGCTCAACCCTAGTAGACTTGTGCATATAAAAGCTAATCAAGCCCAAAAAAAAATTAGTAAAAGTGTTGCATGCGGTAATTGTAGTAACTTGAAACTAAAAAAAAATAAAGCTCCATGATTACAACTCAAATTTTCAATGCCAAAATTTTAGAATGATATCAAAGGAAAAGAAAAATCAAAGGTATGGTATACACTTCTCACGAACAACATAAAAACATCCTTATTCAAGGATGGGTCATGATTTAGATATTTTTCCCCCTAAACCTATTTTCTATTCAATTTACAAAAATGCTACCAATTTTTAATGTGTAGTTATGTTTTCATATTGCAAAATTTCTAGATGTGCAATTTTCATATTTTTTTATAGTATATGCTTCTCACCAACAATGACAAAAAAAAATCTTTATTCAAGGACGGGTCATGCTTTAGATATCTTTCCCCTAAAACTTATTCTCTATTACATTTAGAAAAAATGTTAACCACTTTTTTCATGTTTAGTTACAAATTCGCATTGTGAAATTTTTAGATGTGTATTTTTTTTAAATTGTATTGGACCATAGAAACTTAATTTGGCTTCTAGATGATCTTTACATTCTTTGAAGTCGATCGATGGAACAAATTAGTGTAAAGGTAGCCTTCCAACTATTCATGCCAGCTTCAAAATATCTAACATTCTGGTATCGTTAAAATTTCCCCCAACACCTTCTCATTGTAGCATGGTATCAAAGGTAGAGGAAAAAACATATTTAAGTTAGGGAGGGTGCATTTTTCTCAATTAACTCCAAAGTGGAGAGAGATATATATACCAGACTCACAATTCTCACATTAATAAGGCTCCGAGAACAAATAGACTCGATTTTTATGGATTACCAAGATAGGTATTGCTCTAATCAATAATTCATTATTTAATGTCCTGATAAAGAATGAAAACAGTTTACATTAAATCTAAGACTCAACCCTAGTAGAGTTGAGCATATAAAAACTAATCAAGACCAAAAAATTAGGAAATAAACTTAATATCATGATCCACAATAGTAAAAAAAAAAATGGACAAAAAGTGTTGCATGTAGTAGTTGCAATAACTTGAAACTAAAAAAAAAGCAAAACTCTGTGATTCCAACTCAAATTTGCATTGCCAAAATTTTAAAATGGGCCTCTGAAAAAAGTTCAAACTTTTCCTATTATTAAATAATCTTAAATAAATCATCAAAAACAAGTTATATTATTTCCAAGTATCATCATTAGCTTTATCCTAATTATTTTTCATAGAATATAAGAATCCTCCTCCCAACTTTATATTAAGTGCTACTATTGCATTAAGTGAAATTTGTATTATAAATGTGAAAGATCTAACTAAGAAGATCCATCAATGTGAGACAATAGAAATAAGTCCATGTTTTTAGTTAATCAACTAAACTTATAATTCACTATT